TTGTTTATTAGCCATTCTCTTAGTTTGGTCAAGTCCATTTTCGAAAAGACTTCCACCATCCTTATTTATTTTAAATAAACATTACAACGGTATTTGATTCGAAAATTCGATACAAAATCCGCCACCCTAATGGGGATGGAACAGAGTGTAGGTCAGTTTTTAGTTTATTTAACATTACTTTGGCATCAGCCCCAGGATAAAACAGTTTACTAGCACTAACAGTGAACGATGATAACTTGTCCGCATCAAGAAACCTGAACATAGAGGTGCTTATGAATAGGACAGACTTTTGTGAAGCTTTAGCTGACTGTTTGCAAACTGAGAGTGCAGGTGAAGAAGAGTCTGTCAGTTTGTGTCCTGAATGAGGGATGGGTGGGGGCGGTGAACGCAGACCAAACTCAGTTGACTGAGTGATCCTAGGGGGCTTCATCAGTCTTAGGGTGATGCTGATCCGGGGTTCATCACACATTTCGTCTGGCAGTATCTCATGTTGAAAGTCAGCCTGAGACAATTTGGACATGATGAAGACATCTCCATGCTGAAGCTGCACAGAGCCCACAACTTCATTGCTGCCGTTTGATCTAATTTGCAGTGTTCTCGTCGCATTCTCAAGGCACTCTCGTGGCACTCAAGCGGCATTCTCAAGGCACTCTCGTGGCACTCTCGTGGCACTCAAGCGGCATTCTCAAGGTACTCTCGTGCCACTCTCGTGGCACTCTATCGGCATTCTCAAAGCAATCTCGTGCCACTCAAATGGCATCATCATGACACTCTCGTGCCACTAAAGCGCTATTCTCGTGGCACTCACGTGACACTCTCATGGCACTCTCGTGGCACTCACGTGACACTCTCATGGCACTCTCGTTGCACTCTCGTGGCACACTCGTGGCACACTCGTGGCACTCTCGTGGCACACTCGCGGCACTCTCGTGGCACTCTCGTGGCACTCTCGTAACACTCTCGTGGCACTCTCGTGGCACTCTCGTAACACTCTCGTGGCACTCTCGTGGCACTCTCGTAACACTCTCGTGGCACTCTCGTGGCACTCTCGTGGCACTCTCGTGGCACTTACGTGGCACTCTCGTGGCACTCTCGTGGCACTCTCGTGGCACTCTCGTGGCACTCTCGTGGCACTCTCTTGGCACTCTTGTGGCACTCTCGTTGCACTCTCGTGGCACTCTCGTGGAACTCTCGTGGCATTCTCGTTGCAGTCTCGTGGCACTCAAGCGTCAATCTCAAGGCACTTAAACGGCATTCTCAAGGCACTCTCTTGGCAGTCACGTGGCACTCACGTGGCACTCAAGCAACATTCTCAAGGCATTCAAGCGGCATCCTCAAGGCACTCTCGTGCCACTGAAGCGGCATTTTCAAGGCACTCTCGTGGCACTCAAGCGGCAGTCTCAAGGCACTCTTGTGGCACTCTAGCGGCACTATAGCGGCTTTATCAAGGCACTCTCGTGGCACTCTCGTGGCACTCTCGTGGCACTCTCGTGGCACTCTCGTGGCACTCTCGTGGATCTATCGCGGCATTATCGTGGCACTCTAGCGGCACTATAGCGGCTTTATCAAGGCACTTTCGTGGCACTCTCGTGGCACTTTCGTGGCACTCTCGTGGAACTCTCGTCGCACTCTCGTGGCATTCTCGTGGAACTCACGTGACTCAAGCAACATCCTCAAGGCACTCTTGTGGCACTCTAGCGGCACTCTAGCGGTTTTATCAAGGCACTCTCGTACCACTCAAGCGGCATTTTCAAGGCACTTTTGTGGCACTCTAGCGGCACTCTAGCGGCTTTATCAAGGCACTCTCGTGGAACTCTCGTGGAAATCTCGTGGCACTCTCGTGGTACTGTCGTGGCATTCTCGTGACACTCTCTTGGCACTCTCGTGCCACTCAAGCGGCATCCTCAAGGCACTCTCGTGGCACTCAAGCAGAATTTTCAAGGCACTCTTGAGAATGGCGCTTGAATGTCACGAGAGTGCCTTGATAAAGCCGCTTGAGTGCCGCTAGAGTGCCACAAGAGTTTCTTGAGAATACCGCTTGAGAACCACGAGTGACGAGGGTACCTTGAGAAAGCCGCTTGAGTGTCACGAGAGATGAATTGCTTCGTTGAGGTTTAAGTTTACTTGTAGTTAATTGTATAATTACATCTATCATTACCAACATCTATCAAAGTTGTATAATATTTCTCGTTGTAAACTTTCGGTTTTCTGGCAATTAATCTTCCGCATAATTATAGCAGGAAAGGCTGACGTCCCGCTGATGTCTTAAGGTGTAGAGTGTAGGCTGAAGAGTATATTATACTTAACATATAGTAAACCAACCATTTAACTCAAGATTCAAACGCGAACGTTCTTACTTGGTTGTATGTGTAAACCGGTAATTAGGCCGCTAGGGGCTCCTGGCTCCATCACTTGACCTCAGTTGATGCATTTTGCGTACATGATCACAGGAACAACGGTGCGCCCCTAAGGGTTGGCAGGTCAATTAGAAACAATCGTTGGAGCAATGGACCGGCTCACTTATAGACTGGATCAGCGACAATTATTGGTTTGTTTATTAGCCATTCTCTTAGTTTGGTCAAGTCCATTTTCGAAAAGACTTCCACCATCCTTATTTATTTTAAATAAACATTACAACGGTATTTGATTCGAAAATTCGATACAAAATCCGCCACCCTAATGGGGATGGAACAGAGTGTAGGTCAGTTTTTAGTTTATTTAACATTACTTTGGCATCAGCCCCAGGATAAAACAGTTTACTAGCACTAACAGTGAACGATGATAACTTGTCCGCATCAAGAAACCTGAACATAGAGGTGCTTATGAATAGGACAGACTTTTGTGAAGCTTTAGCTGACTGTTTGCAAACTGAGAGTGCAGGTGAAGAAGAGTCTGTCAGTTTGTGTCCTGAATGAGGGATGGGTGGGGGCGGTGAACGCAGACCAAACTCAGTTGACTGAGTGATCCTAGGGGGCTTCATCAGTCTTAGGGTGATGCTGATCCGGGGTTCATCACACATTTCGTCTGGCAGTATCTCATGTTGAAAGTCAGCCTGAGACAATTTGGACATGATGAAGACATCTCCATGCTGAAGCTGCACAGAGCCCACAACTTCATTGCTGCCGTTTGATCTAATTTGCAGTGTTCTCGTCGCACCAAGTGAAATGGTTACAATATCAGAGTGTTCTACAATACATGATTCAGAATCGCTATGAGCTGGCATGAACTCTGCTCCAGTTTCATATAGATTGACGAGAATACTATTGTGTCTGAAATTGGGTAATATCACATTAATGTAGGAGCTGAGTTTAGCAAGGTAGGAATCATTGTGTACACTTTTTGGGTCATGTGTTGCACCTGAATACTCATAGGGAAAGTCACCAAAATAAACCGATTTCCTGTTTTTAAAACCGTGACTGAACTCAAGTTCTTCCATTAATAGATCAAGTGAAAATTTAGAGAATGGACCATCATCTAGTAGGGTAACTGGTTTCACTGGTGATGGGGAACAAGTTACAGATATATTCATTGGCCCCGGTGTTATAGGATCGTAGACAGGGGCAGGGACCAAGTTTGTCCATATTTGTCTCTGGGCTTAGGGGTGTTGATCCGTGATTCACCAGTAGCAGTAGATACAGGGAGATCAGACACATCATCCTCGTCTGCCATAACCTCGTTAACAACAATCTCACTGATAACAATCTCGTTTCCAACAACCTCCTGTGGAACAACCTTGTCCACGACATCGTTGTTAACAAACAAACTGTCCGATACAACATCTTCCACAACAATGTCATCTACATCAAACGCTTCTACTTGATTGATAACAACGTGTGACTGAGGGGTAATGGTTATGATCTCACATTCAATCTCCTCTGATAAGTTTGGCAGCAAATTTTCACACTTAAAACTCTGTTGTTGTATTTGAGTTTGATCTGATATGAGACTATCATTGTACTGGGCAATGAGATCACTAGTTCTGATAATTTCATTCAATAAAGACAACTTTTTTCTAAAAAGTCAATCTTGATGTCTTTTGACAGACAATTGTTACAGTTCTCTGATTTTTCAGACTGGAATGAAAAGTTCAAATGTTCTAAAGGGCGCTCACAAGAGTGGAGACTAATGTCTGAGCTCTGATTATTTGACATAGTTATATTATTAAGAGATTAGATAGATTAGATTAAGAATAATGACATAAACATCATCACTAGTTTTAAACATTCTTTCTGATTTCCTCATTATCAGAACTGTGAACATTTCACAGCCTTCGTCATTAAAAAACAAACAAATTCTATAACTAACATAATTGTCATAATTTATTTACATATAAAAAAGTTTAAAAAGTTAAAAACCGTTAATTTAAAAAATAAATAAATAAAAACAAATTCATGAGATATTTATTCCCTTTCTCTTGGCAACACACGGATTTTTATATAAATATTGGACTTGTTGCTTCTTCTTTTCGATATAATTTACACCCTCTATTTTTGCTAAAACTATATTTGACACTTCCCAAAAGTTGCCTGTGTCTACTAAATTATTAGTCTTTTTAAATTCTTCTAGATTAATTTTAAAATCAATAACAGACACTGAATTTCTAACAAAAGATGGCAATTTATTCCAAAAGCTGATAACACGCTCTGATAAAAAATTATTAGACAAGGTTTTAATATTTCTATCAATATTGTTAGATTTAGTGCTAACAATTTTATCTCCCGATCTACTTAAATTGAAAATATCTTTTCCATACTCAACCAATCCATTTACAATTTTGTAGGCTTCAATCAAATCTCCTCTAACCCGTCTCTCTGCGAGTGTTGTAAAAAGAGTTCAATGTTCAGAAGCACAATAAACACTGTAAACGCAATACCTTCAGTCCAGATAGTAGTTTTGATGAGAATAGTTTTGATGAGAAGGAGGAGGATGAGTAATCTTCAAGTACACTCACAGCAGTCCTTTGCACGTCAACACTTACGCTCGTCTATCATATCTCATACCTCAATAAATGTAATAGATTTGTAGTGTTGTAATTAGTTTAAAACTAATAAGTTAGTTAAAGGTGTTATCACGTGATCTCGGTCACATGACTGCTAGTAAGACGCACCTTAGCTGCTTGAAGGGGGCAATTAGAATACTGAACTCACACAGTTGCACATATGCTCAATACTGGATCACCGACCACATTTCTTAATATGGTTAAATTGGTCATAGATATTATTGTTTATTATTGTTATTTCCAGAACAACGACAGGTCCATTTTCGATAAAACTTTCGCCATCTGAACTGTCATAATGTAAGCTTTACAACGGTACCAATTCCATAAATACGATTAAAAAACCATCCACCCTAATATTCAACCATCCAGCATAAACTCGTCGAGTAAGTGAATTCCATAAAGAACAATTTAGTCAGCTAAGTTGCAGTAAGTCATTGGTAAGAATTTATGGATACACCGTTAGGAATCAGATTATGTTTCACCACAAATTTTATATGGGTGATCGCTGCAACATAAAACATTAGCACAGAAATCAGAATACTTGATAAAATATTAATGTTGTTAAAATACGACAGTATTAGCTTTAGCGCTCGATTTTCAAACTACAGTGTAACTTTGTGAAAATGTGCGCGGCACACCTAAAATTTTATGTTTTATCTAAAAATAAATTGTGGCCTATTTATATTGCATATATTTAATCAATTCTTATATAAAATGTTAAAAACAAGGTGTTCAAAATTGCATTAACAGTCAAAGTACCAAAAATAAAAATGCGCGCAAAAATTTGGACGTTTTTGGATTTTTAGTAAAAAAATACAAAATATAAATTAATACATTTTAATGTTATTTTGAGCGGATTTTAAAAATCTAGCTCCATTTTCATGCATTTTTTTGATATACCAGCAAAATTATAAATTACTTTGTACTTTTAAAATTTATTAATATATCATCGGGCTTTTACACAATTCTTTTGTCAAACGTTGTATGACCCGCCGCGCACGAGTGCACGGCTCCCCCTGTATCGTTAGAACACCTTCTATAGTGAAACTACCGTGGGGGTCACGATGTGATACAACAATTCTTTAAGTGGGCTAAGTCATCGTCATGTAAATGTTTGCAGTTTTTCAAACATTGATTGGGGTGTCTAGTAATTAACTTTATGTTTAGTGGTCAACTTATGTCTAGTGGTTTAAGTTTTTATGTTTAAGTTTCAGAGAGGTTTTGGCTAACAATGTTATAAATCAGCAGATAAGAAATTAAAAATTATTCAAACAATATACACATAATATAACAATAACCCTATATAAAAATTTTATATAAAAATTCAATAAAAAATCTTAAAAATTTTCATAAAAACCCTTTGCTGTAGTAGTAAAAGTAGCCAATTCAATTTGTTGGCTCTAAATTAATATCTAAATCTGATATCTTAACTATACTACCATTTTTTATTCCTCTTTTTCCTCTAAGAGCAATAATTGTCGTTCTTAATGAGTCAAATCTTATTCTTTTCCTGATAAAAGTCATCGCTTCACTGTATCTTTGGCCTGATTTTCTAGACATTCTATCAGCTAACTTTTTGAAGAACGTATTTGCTTCTCTTCCCATTCCACCTGTTGTTGATAGGACTATTGGTGTAGATGTTCCATGTTCCACCTCGACCTTGTTGTACATGTTTTTCTTCTGTCTCTCATGGCTAGTGTACATACTCATTGGAGATCCAAGAGCCTTACTGGAAGGAGCTTGAGCTTACATCTAAAAATACCCTTTCCAATTGGTTCCATACACTCCTAGCATTAACATCTAATCTAGCTCCATCTGCTTTGTTGGCCCCTGCAGGAAGTTCTCTCCCATTGACAGGGATAAGGAGAGGTTCGGTGGTAACATCTTTACATCCAGCAGTTTCACTGTTTCTAAGAGCTCTGCTATCACATCTCTCAATGAATTGTGGCGGAGAGATACATACCCACCCCTTTTGCATATCAATGAGTGGTTTATTAAGTTGTCACTTCCACATTTTCTTGCAGCATCTTTTATTCCAAAGTTGTACCTAAGGGCTAGGGCATCATTGAATTCTTGTTTGTTGAGACAGAATCCAAATGATTTGAGTGGGAGTGATGAAAGCCAGGAACTTGCCCCTTTCTCTGATGTAAGATCTAATTGCAATTTTTGGGTTTCATTCAGGTCTTTTGTAACCTCATCTTTTATCTCCTTGAAAAACTCTATCCTTGATTTTCGGATTTGGGTCTTGATCTCGACAAGTTTTTCCTGATCATCATAAAAATCTGCAGATAAGTGGGTTAAGAAATGCTTGTGAAAGTGGATTCCTGGAAACCAATAGTTTATACTACCCTGATATAATTATATATGAGCCTAACATATTTTTTTCGGTTTTCTGAAGTCCGTACCTAGTAGTACTACCTACCTCTCGATATACGATTTTCAAAGTTTTTCTGGAAACTACTTTTGTTCATGTTTCATGCTACCCTGATCATTATGAGCTGAAAATATTTTTCGGTCTTCTGAAGTCCCCTACATTCAGAAGGCTGTGGATGTGATTGGTTCCATATACTTATATAGAACATCATATTTGGCCTTCGGATTTGAAGGAGAATGCGCAAATCTGGTCCTCAGATTTGAAGAAAAATGCACAATTTGTCGCGGAGAATTGAAAGAATCGCGGTTTGTCACGGCAAACGTCAAAAATCGCGATTTCTTTTTGATGTTGCCCATTAGAGCATTATATGCGTGTAATTGTGTCGTATTGTGATGGAATACAGTAATGAAATCACCACCAAATGCGATTTGAGCTACAATAAATCATATTTCTTGCACAAAACGAGCTTATCTAAAACTTTGGAGAAAAAAAAGAGGTCTGGTATATAGATTTTCAAGATGTATGTTGTATATTATATGTGTAACTCATTCATGAGCTGCATGACGATGATGTGATCCACTCAGTCAACACTTGCAATTTGTATGTTAAGCCAATCACATGTTTAACTGATCACTCGATCTAGTACCCAATCAGCACATTGCACCAGCATCGAATTACTCTTAACACATTAGAGGTATCCAAGCAAATTAGGGAAGTAAGTGCTGAATCACACAAGCTGATATCATAAATAACAAGCCAGATATTGGGGAATTTCTTAAAGAATCTTACGAGGCTGCTACGCCCTTCTCGAATAAACTCGAGGTCTTTATTAACTGTAAATGATAAACTAAATTCTCAAACCGATCTAGAGTTAATTATATTATAACAGAATCTTACCATAACGTTCAAAGAACATTATTAAATTATTCATTACAGGAAGACATGTCTCATCGGCTCAAGATCAAGAAATCTAATTTTTGGGGTTTAGAATTTTGTATTTGTGGCTGCAGATTGCAGAATGCTAAGATAGGCTTTAAATTTAATAAATACAATTGAGTCGAAAATGTGCAAGATGATGCATAAGTATTGGCAAAAATTGATCCTTATTCAAATCGCAGCTGACGTTATCATAATTGCAGTTTTATTGCACGTTGTAAATTTCGCCTGTAAAGTGTTGTTTTTTTCTCTTTGTAACTTGATTTGTTTCATTTATCAGACCTTCTTACAAGTTTGATATCAGAATTCAAAGGGGAATTTTTCCTCCGTTATCGTGCTTCTAAACAGCGAATTTATGTTAAGTGCCAGTCCCTCTGGATAGCATATTTCAACACGGCGAAAGTTTATGAATAAGTAAAAGTTGAAAAAGCCGCCATAGGATAATATCATGACAGGTCGTATCAATGATTTGGGTTGGACTATCTTTAGTCCTCCTGAGAACAAATAAATGTGAACATTAACCCAACAGCTTTTCTAGATTTATATAGCTAAGTACACTTTCAACAGCGATATAGTGTGAGTGTGGTCTCTAATTATCGATAATTTACCGAGGTGACGATTGGGCTTAATGAGAAAATATTTACTGTTTACGGAGTAGCTAACAAAAATAGCGTACACATCTGCTGATGTAGTACAGACAGATCCGTCTGAAAAAATCGATCTGCTGACACACGAAGCTTTCAGAGGATTTTTGACGTTTTTGAGTCCCATTAGGTGCCCTTTATGGCTGACCAACTTTTCCAAACTTTTCCACTTGTCTTAAGGCCACTTTTTGCCACTTTACCACTTTTTACCACCTTTCTTGTTTGTCGAATATCTTTAGTTGTGAACATCGTAAAAGGTTGCGAATCAATCGAGTGTGTTCATATTACCATGAAGAAAAACTTTTGTTCTAACAATTTTTACGTCAGATAATCAGTTAATTGGATAATTATCAATTAGCTAATTAGCAAAATTCTAAAAAAATTTTATTGGCTCAAAATGATCGGAATAGCTTAAAACACGGAGAAAAGTAGTTTTTAGAAAAACTTTGAAAATTTTTCACTTACATTTTTTTTCGAGACTTGGAAAAATTTCGAAAATTCAAAATATTTTTTTCCGTCAAAAGTGATCAAATCGCATAGAACGCGGAGAAAAATGCTTTTCAAAAAAACTTAGTGAATTTTTCGTTTCAAGAATACTTTAATCACCAATATTTGTAGTTAGAGTTCAGTAAATCGCGGCAGATTTAAGTAATCAGGAATTACTAAGTGGAAAGGTCTGAAACTGAAAAACGTTTACCATGTAACGAGCTGTATTCAATCACAATACGACACAATACGTGTATATTATATGGCTGTTAATGAGGTTTATGAACCGCTTAATACCTTGAGAAACCCGGTATAGAGAGGTTTTACAGTTTATCACGAAAACGTATACTTGGCCTCATGGCTCATTTACAGTTCGAAGAAGGCAAGAACAGACCAGGGAAACTAAGATTCAGGAAGCAAGTGTAAATACACCTTCCAACATCTACTGACACTGTGACTTGTTTTGTATTGTACTGCATACCGCTTCATTTGCTATGCGGTATAAAATCACCCCCATATGTCAGGGTCGGCTAAAAGTAAAATCAACAAGGGTAACATACCGGCAAGGATAAGATTTAGATACGAGCGTCGGGCAAGGGTTAGTAAAGAACCGATAATAATTAATTCAGTGAAATGCTCCACGAGAGTCAGGATATTTTGGAAATTGCTAATAGAGACAGATTCTGATCAGGAAGGATTGTTAATGTTATTGAGGGTGTTGATTTGAAATCCGGACGTCGTGAGGTAAAATTAAAAATACAGGTTCTTCCCGTAGGATATTCGGGGCCATGATGATCAGCTCAGGATTAATGTGGGACAGATCGAAGAGCATTGAAAAGAGCGAGTTGAAATTTTAAGCTTTCTGGTCTTTTCTTGCCTTCTTTGAGCTGTCAAAGAGCCATGAGGCCAAGTAGACGTTTTCGTGCTAAACTGTAAAACCCCTCCATACTGGGCCTGCCTCTCACAGGAGAAACGAGAAGTGTACGGTATAGAACGTTTCATATACCTCATTAAGGGCCATAATATAATATACACGTATTGCATTGTGTCGTATTGTGATTGAATACAATCACGATATGTATTACTACTTACATCACCCACCAAATGCGATATGAACAACTTGGTTTGATTGTCGAGGAAAAGAAGAGGTCTGGTAATACAGGTAGGCTGGTTTAGATTAGCACAATTGACGGTACAGAGATGTTTATTTATTACAAATGTGATTATCTTAACCCCACTGATTCATCATTGAAATCAATAAAATGACAGTACAGCAGGCTATCGTTTCGATCTTGACTGTGCCATTGGTGCAGTTTCTGCGTAAAATAGTTTATGAAACTCTTATATCGCCGCGCGATCGTATGGTAAACGTTTTTCAGTTTCAGACCTCTTCACTTAGTAATTCCTGATTACTAAAATCTGCCGAGATTTACTGAACTCCAACTACAAATATTGGCTATTTAATTATTCTTGAAACGAAAAATTCACTAAGTTTTTTTGAAAGGCATTTTTCTCCGTGTTTCATGCGGTTTGATCACTTTTGGCGGAAAAAATATTTTGAATTTTCGAAATTTTTTATAAGTCTCGAAAAAAAATGTAAGTGAAAAATTTTCAAAGTTTTTCTAAAAACTACCTACTTTTCTCCGTGTTTTAAGCTATTCCGATCATTTTGAGCCAATAAAAAATTTTTAGAATTTTGCTAATTAGTTAATTGATAATTATCCAATTAACTTATTATCTGACGTAAAAATTGTTTGAACAAAAGTTTTTCTTCCTGATAATATGAACACACTCGATTGATCTGCAACCTTTTACGATGTCCACAACTAAAGATATTCGACAAACAAGAAAGGTGGTAAAAAGTGGTAAAGTGGCAAAAAGTGGCCTTAAGACACGTGGAAAAGTTTGGAAAAGTTGGTCAGCCATAAAGGGCACCTAATGGGACTCAAAAACGTCAAAAATCCTCTGAAAGCTTCGTGTGTCAGCAGATCGATTTTTTCAGACGGATCTGTCTGTACTAATGTGCGGTTAGCAGAATTTGCAATTTTTCTTTCATCTCATTTCTGTTCAAATGTCGGTAGATCAATTGAAGTTTTACTGTAAAGTGTAAATGTATTACGTAATTTATCTCAATCATGATATTTGATAATATCTATTAGGTGCACATTGTTATTTAATTTTAGCATTTCAGTAATGATTTTTATCAGAGTCAATATTCCCAAGATATGCCTTGAATTTGAAAAATACGTACAGATTGAGTTTACAGTATAGATTAGGTAAATACTAAATAACCAGCTCCCATCAAGCTGGAAGAAATTTTTAAACTTCTTCTCAATGATAAGACAATCGCCACCCGGTCTTTCTTCTCGAACGTAATGGGTTCTATTAATGTGACATCAAGCTTTCTTTAATGACTTGTAATTAAATCCCAGTCTGCTGTTGCACTGTACAGCTTTATCTACACGGTTTGCTTTGATCCAGCCTCCCCATTGGGTAGATACGAACATGGGAGGTAAATCTGAAGCCAGGTTTCCATTGTTAAAATTTCCTCCAAAGATATCCCGCATTGTTCTCTTCTCCCCGCTTTATTTAGATCAGCTGGAAGGAGTGGCTGATATTATTTCTGTTCTATTGTTTGGTGATACTTGCCGATTTCTTCAACTTTGTCCGTAGATAATGGCTGCCCATTGTGCTCTTCAGCGGAACACTTATTCCTTTATCCTATTTCTTTATCTGTTAGTTTGCACGACTTATTGTGTTAAGAGACGAACAGTCAGTGATCTCCAAACATTGCAAGTTTATTATCTGCTCTACCGTTTAGCCTAAAATATTATTGACCAAGTTTCTTTTCTGTGATATGCCTTCGTTCGACTTAAATCTACTCTTTTGAACACTTCCATTCTATGCTTATTAAGATTCAGACATAAGTTCAGGAAATAGATTAGCACGAACGAAATTGTGTCATTAAGTTTTCGTCTTGCAGTTAATATCTTTCGCTACAATAAATTGTCTGATTCTCGGAAAAACCAACGTCTCACAGATTAATGATCTATTTTAATCGAAAGTTAGTGCATTATTTATAAACATCTGGAGTAATCAACGAGATGATAGAACACTAATTAGCTGGTAAAATTGGATCTAGGAACGGCGTGAGACGTCGAAAACCATTGGCTATCCCCCATTTCGGCACGTGGCCGCTCAATTTTGTAACCTAGCATTAGTTCACTATAATCAACCGGAAGCAGCAGTAATAAAATTGACCATGACCTGTATTGCCGAGCGATTGATTCATGTTTCCCATTAGCTGTACATTAATTGAGTTTGATCGATCTCAAACAGCTCGGTTAGTTTATTGTCGTCATTTTGCAAGTGTGCTTTTCCTGCCCAGTGGTTTATCAAGAAAAAAACGCCTCTACCCGGTTTCTTTATACTTATAGGTTAACTAAATTACTACCAATCAGAAAAGTAACGTACATGACTACATGCTGCAACAAATCTAAATCTTTTTTACTGTACTGTAACGCTACTGTAACGCAGCTTACTTTAGAATTTAGAACTTTTATTTCATATTTCTATGTCTTGTATCTTCTTTGAATTAATTACAGAAAAAGATCATATTTATTCTATATCTCATCCCTCAGTATCTATTTCCCGTTTCTTAACCCATCCAAAAAGTTTCCAAACGTTTATCTGATTAATTTAAGCAGTACAGGAGGAGCCGCACTTGTGAGCACCTATTTTCTCTTTGTTACAGTCACTGTCAAACATACACTTGACATACCCGTCCCAGTAGTCTCCCTCCACGTAGCACCACTCTGATATCGAACACTTGCCTGTACACTTGTTTTCCTCTCCAAAACAGTCGATCGTCAGACAGCAGATACCTGGTGTCATTAGAGTCACAGGGAAATCGTGACTTTATCAATTTAAATGATGTACTGAGGAAAATTGTGGAATAATCTTCGCGATATATATATATGATTTATATTTATATCGTACCAAATAATTGGTCGGGTTTTATCATCAAACTCGGTCAATATTTGTGATAAAAGCTCTTAGCCATTACAAAAAGAGACATTATTCCAGACAATCGCGATGAAAATCATGATAAGCTACAAATAGAGATTGATTAACAACTAGATAGTAACTTTATTAATTGTAATAATAACTTGATTAATTGTATAATAACTCACCATTGCACTCACTCCAGCATCTGTCATTATGGCACCCATAAGCACAGTTGTTTTCTCTATCACACGGTGCCCCCTCCTTCCAAAACTTGCAGCACATGACCATTCCCAGTATACTTATCAGTAATAAGAACTGTTTCATTGCTATCTGTGTTAAAGAGTGTTAAATGAGTGTTAAAGAGTGTTAAATGGGTTTCTGCAGTGATCATCTCGATTGTACACCTAGCTGACAATTTGTATTATGTACTATGATTTATCGCTGCTTTAACATTTTTTTACTTTCCATTGTTCCATTGTTTTTGAATGATATAAGCTATTTAAGAATCAAATTAGAATCCAATTATTTTCATCTGAACAACACTTTTAACCAAGTCTATCAATCAAACTGTTTGTTCTAAACAGAGCAAGCACCACTGCACTTATAACCATAAGGAAACTTGATCCTATTGTAAGGTCCACAATCGTCATCAGTTTTGCAAGAGGTCCTGGAAGCGTAGGAGTCTCCGACAACGTAGCACCACTCGGGCAATGCGCATCCAGACGTGCAGGACAAGTCTCCGTCCACACAGTTCGTGGTTAAACAGCAGACTCCTGACCGGGTGGGGTGATTATTCATCTTATTTTTATTTTTGTTCGGAACACAGTGGGACTACATATTTACGGAAACCAGAAATTGGATGAAAACGTTTCCACTGATGTAATGGGGTTCTGGTGTGCGGGAGCGTTATAGTGATTAAACTGCACGTGTACATTTTGTTTGATTGCCACAATGCACGTGAAACTTTGTCTTTATGATTACAGCTATATTTATGCAATTCATTGCTTAATTAAATTAAATAACTGGTTGATATTTCGTAAGCTGCATCACAAAAGAGATTAATCGGTGAATTCACAATACAGATCTCATCAGGCATTGTCCGAATGATTACAATTCTATCCTTTTTAATCAAATCTTTGTTTGAAGAACAATATCGTCGATATATGTATTACGTTCGGCTTTCTTTAGACCGTATTCTTGAAATTTTATCATCAATAGCAGGCACAGATAAAAATATAAAATTATTTTCTATGTCACTAACCGTCACATTGACTCCAACATTCACCGTTGTGGCACCCGAATGCGCAGTTGTTACCAGAGTAACAACTTGCTCCGTTCTTCATGAAATGGTGGTTACAGGTCTGGCATAATACCAGGATGAAGCATCCGAGAAGCACTTTCAAAAACATTTTCGAACAATGAGGAGTGGTCGAGACACAAAGGGCGGATGATTGGGATTGTTTGAGGACTTGGTATTCCACTTGAAACAGGTGTCAATTTAGAATTCTTCGTTTTTATCAATCTCGGTCCAAAAGGTTGATTAGATTTACACCGGTCTTAGTACAATTGATTTAGCATCTGTTCAGCGTCCAATTTTATAAAATTGATAGGGTTCTCTGAAGCTCAGACTTGCTAAATTATATTAAAGAATACACAATACGTAGCGTGTAATACTAAATTTGTTAAAACATCTGGTTTGAAATACTAGAAATACCACCGCCTCTGAAGCAAAAAGCTTCTACGCCATCAAGATCTCCCTAATATCCTATCACCACCAGACCGCCCCTCCCGCTGAAACCCCTTAACTGCAACTGACGCTGATGATTATCACGTACACTGGAGGCTCAATGTCCGTATTAACAACTTCTTATCTCCCACACAACCACCCCTTATCTCACACACTTACACACTTACACACTCGCGTATAACGGTTGCTACTATAACTGGGGAACGTGCAACAGTTAGATATAACGAGCTGTACAAGGTGAACCTGGGATAACTGTCATCACCATATCTTATCATGTTATATGAGAAGTAGCTCTCTCTCTCTCCCTCTCTCTCTCTCCCTCTCTCTCCCTCTCTTTTGGTCAGCGTTAGTTTAAGACCCCAACAGTTCTTCTCCTCCCATTCGTTGCTGTTTATTCCCCGTTATTAGGTACCCATTTTCTCAAGTTGGTTGTCATGTTTTTGTGGACGTCTCCCTTATTAGCGGTATTCCCTCCCATGTTATTAACATACCATCACTAATCTGGTGAGTCTCTTTAATTTAGCTTCTACACTCGGAGTATTAGGGGGGCGTTATGGAAGGTTTCGCCCGTACACTGTACACTTTACAGAGTTCCCTCATCCTCACTTCTCTCTGTACACGGTAGCTGATGTTCTCTTACACTCGCTACTCTACCGCTTCCCTTCTTACTTTAGTCATTCTTATCACTGGCTTTGTGTCCCGACCACTGTGTATTCTTAGTATAGAGCCCATGTTCACGGAATATTCTCCTTTTTGTCCTTCCGTAAATGATCATCAATATCGTTTTGTAATTTGTATCGAACTTTATTTGAACGAGTGAATGAGTTGTTATAATTGATAAACCTTTCTTTTTATATTCATATTATTAGCTTTGTCATTGTTCCACGTGATAACAATACTTTAGTTGCAAAGCCTATCTTAGTCTAATTAGATTTCATACAACATGATTCGATTCTATTTTCGGAAACTGTGGCTGTCTTCAGACAAACAATTGACATCAGGTTCGGCAATATCGATTATTTTTCATTTAGATCATACTTTGGGTTCTTGCCAAGGTCTCAAACCATGATAATCAGAACATTGTGTAGAGATATGAGCCTTTGTAGAAATACTACATAACTGTACCGGGTACCCGTTGATGTACCTATATCATCAGTTTTTATTTATAAATTAGCAACTAGAACTATTATCATCTCTTTTTAGAGTCGTCTATTCTTATACTCCTATTCTATTTCTAAAAAGATATACTGACACATTATCCAGTTTGACTCTCTCACAAATCCTCCAAAATCCTCCAAAACACGCAATGAACATTCCTTTGTGTGAGTGTCACGTATATTGTCGCTGTTTCATGTTGTGACGGTGAGCCTCTCCCCTCTCCAGCAGTAGCACGCTCAGTAAGTTCTTAGTACAACTCTCAAGACACGTGGGCGCTGATCATGTGGGCTGATCACGTGGGCTGATTGTAGTGAAGTGAAGCGGCTGTTGTTTCAGTAGCGTGGTATGAGAGGGAGGGCGGAGTGAAGACTAGCATCAACCTCCGGGGGAGATGGTTTGACGGTTTGTGCTCACTGTAGTTACTGTAGTCACTTTAGTCATTGTAGTCACTGTAGTCATTGTAGTCTGTACTTACCACCTAACTTTACGACCGGTTTTGTATGTTAGCAACATGGTTAGATTATATTTAGTGCTTGCTTTGTAAGCATGAAGATGACATCATGACGACATAGCCACTTCAGCTGCACGGTGAAACTGCTGACAGTAATCTTTATTCGTCTGATTCACTCAAGTTCAAATGTGATATTAAGAATATTCATCCTTTTGTATATAATAATCAATCACATGTGATGATGTTTTAAGCAACTGAAAAATTGACACCATATACATGTTAGTTCAGAAGCCCCTAAAGCGGTAAATCACGAACGTTCATCCGTGGTCCGCCACCCTTCAGGGGAGATGGCTCTGATACATATTGTGTGATGATTAGGCATCTAACACGCTATATACTCGTCTCACCCACACTCTTCATCCCTCATCTGGCTTTACAATTACACTAACTGTTTCAAGATATAATATAGTATACTGTGAGTGGACTGTTCAGTTGTTCATACTGGGATATTCAGTATTCACGTACCCCCCTTTGTGTGAGATCTTTGTGCTGGTGCCTATCATTTGCATGTACTGTAGCGAGCAGGAGCAGTAGTGCTCTATTCTCAATACACTGTATTGCACATCATTTGGTGCGTCCATGCTCTTTTCATTATATTGTGTTTCTTTTTCACGCGCTCATTTGCTCGCAGGAGTTGACTTGTGTACTTCATCGGAACATCTGTTTTTCTTTAGGGTTTCCTGCACTACGTTTGTTTCTGGGACGATACCGCTTGTTTACCCAAAAGCGACCGACGTTCTTTCTCTAATCAGCGCTTAATTTTAATTCTCTTTACTGCCGGTTAACTTACACTGCCACTTAAACCAGCAACGGTTTCCCCTCCTGTACACGCAAGTGTCTAAAAGTTTTGCAGGAGTGTATATTAAACACGAAGTTTAACGGTGGCAGTTTAAAGTAAGCTTGTCTTATATTACACTGGCGGAGGACCCGGAGCAGTGTCAAGAATCGGTTTAAACATCTTTCCTGGTTTACAACTACTGGAATGGAGAGATTGGAAAGGCTAGTTGCGTATTGTTCGCATGCTCACTTGCCAGTTCTTGATTTTGGCTTAGTTCGTGCTTTTTCGGCAGTGACCGCTGCCAAGTTATAGTGAGGTAGCTCTTACTTTCCGGGATGGAAACAAGCCGCAACAGCAACCGGCGCTAATAGCAGCGGCTTCGTGTTGCGAGCTGTGAGATGAAGTTTTATATATCTTATTATCAGTATAACATGGTTTCTTCTCTTTCTTTGCCGCAACACTCATTTATATATTGCGCTTGAAAGCTTTTACTACTTTGTCATTTTAATTCACACACAATAAAAGCTAACAAGTACGCGTATGGAGATAGAACTTTTAAGCAAGTAGATTTTAAAACTTTATGCTCAGTCTATGTTATCGTTATGGAGAAAATGGCCATGATTTGTTTGAAGAGTTGAAGTGTCTTGTGAAGACTGGACAGCTATGAGCTCCAAAACAAGTGCTTGATGATGATGTGCGGGCCTGACTTGCATCTCTCACAACTCTCTTGAGAACGAATCTAGGAGAAACATCATTTCTTTTGTTTCTTTCACTCTTCTCAGTTTGTCTCAAGTGATTTTCTCTTAAAATTGCAGCACGTGCGTGTTTTTAATTTTTCAACATTTGTCGTGAAGTGTACTTTAGCCTGAAGAGTGTCGTAAGATGTGGCGAGGTATCCATGTTGTCTTCCATAACGACATGAACACTGCACTGTACTTTCCTTCTTTTGCAAATCTAGTGCGCCTGGCTAATTTTCCTGGGTAAGGATTTTACCGGGCATATTAACGTGTGCCAGTTTTATTGTGTAGACCTAGCGGTTACAGTTTAATAGTTCGTTTGACCAAGAAACTAGTGTAGGAGCTTGCATTAAACATTTTAATGTATCACATTAAAGATTATGGCATAATCCAGG